CTCCAATAATTAAACTATTTTCCTCTAGAAGAGCCAAAAAAATTCTTCAACTTGAAAAAAAAGAAGGGAAATCAAGCACAAATGATCGATACTCTCTTGTAATTGGTCCACGGATCCAAGGGAAACTTTCGTCTCCCTTTTGGAGAACACTTTCGACACTCGAGCTTCCCTTGGCCTACAAAGTAGACCAATTTTGTACAGTGGATGACACGTTGTCATAGGTCGGCCGATAGTTCATTATACTTGCTGATCGGCACGGACGATCGTGATCCAACTGCTGGCTGGGAACGTTTCGATAATTTATACCAAAATTGCGCCATGCTCTTAGAATGATGACAGGGTTACGTTGTCATAGGTCAGCTGACGGCTCGATTATACTTGCTAATTGACTTTTTCGTCATGCTGGTTGTCGCGCGTATAACCCGTGACGAATTTTTCGATATAGTTGTCTTCAGGTATATACATACACGTGGACAGAGCTTTTCGATTCCTTATGGAAGTGTATGATTGTAAAACTTCGTTGCATAAGTTCGAGGTGAAAAGGGCCGCCGAATGGACCCACACACCATTCGTTATCTCGTTGCAAAACCGAGAATTACCGAGTCTCGACAAATTTTCATTGCCACGGGCTTACTCAACAGACCGTGACAGTGATTTACATTCAGAATCTTCGATATCCCCTCAACTACGATGTACATATTTTACAGGTAAAGCCAGGTAATTCTCCCTTCACAAATTTTTTCGATAGGAATTTTTATTTCAACCCTTCGACAGTTTATCCCGCCTGAGACTCCGGTAAAGCGTGAAACATTTAACTGTTTAACTCAAGAGAGACTCTTAGGAAGAAAGTTAAAAAGTCACAACTACGACGTAGAGTTTATCCCTTGTTTCAAAAATGATCATACCCGGCGTAATTATTACAAAAATACCTGTGAAATAAAATTTTCATTACCTTATTTCAGAATTTTATTAGACTGACAAAGGGTTAAATTATACGGAGAATCGTGAACCAATTAATTCGTAAACGCGGGAGTTACCTGTAAATTAAAATCGCAAAGGTAGCAATTTCAAAAAATTCCCATCGATCACCCTTTCGCAAACCGATAATCAGCTGACGACGAAAAGGTTCCATTTTAAAATGGCAAGACAATTGGATCCTCTACGATGGGCTCTTTAAATCCACGAATTTCGATGTCTATCGCGGATTCAAAGCGTATTCAAATACGATTCCGTCTTCTCCACCATAGACATGTGATCCTTAATTCTCAAGGAGAGGACGCTGTCCACCCACGGCTATTTTGCTTTTCAAAAAAGCACACACCATGTGGATAGAGAGAGAGAGAGAGAGAGGATGGCTGAAGAGAGGAGGCGAAGATAGAGGAAGAAAAAGGGAAGCCGTCAATTACATAATGCATTCGAGTCGTGATCGAGCCGATCGAATGCCCGTCTCGATTCCCTCCCCGCGTATACATATATCGTGGTACACGAAACGGGGGACCTCGGTGAGCGCGTGATGGGCGTTCCTCGAGGTCATGGTCACCACGCGTCTCGCGGACGTCGAATTTAGTCCCATACCAAAAATTTTAGCCGCTCCTTACCTGGTATAGTTTTATACTTTTTTTTTCTCTCTCTCTCTCGACGAATAATTGAATAAAATTAAAAGTAACGTGGTTCGACACTCTTTTCCTTTTTCTTTCACATACTTTGAGGTACAATTCGATTGAAATTTTGGAGAAATATTAATCTTGCTAATTCTTCGAAATGTTGAATTGAAAAAAACAAAAGATTAAAGAAACTTCCTGTACTGCTAATTCTCAATAACGAAAGAAACGGAAACTGACATAGCTGACGAAGGAATCGACAATGTTGGTGATACGCGAAATCAAGGTCGCGGCGATATCCATCGAAAAGTAAATTTAACCACGGTTGAATAATTTTATCGCTTTGTTGAAATTCTAATCTTTATCTCTAGTCTTTTAATCCTCTTAGTTCCCTCTCTATCTATCTATCTATCTATCCTGGATGGTTCAATAATTCAACAGTGTCGTTTCGCGTGTCAAATCGTACCTCCGTTATTCTCTGCACTAATCATCTTTCTTACGGAAGGTCGACGATATTCTTTCAACCTTGAGGAAGCGTTCTTTAACGTAGAATTATCGTTATCCTTTCCTACCTGAGGAAACATCGATATCGCGGTGGAGGTGATAGTGGATCGGTGGAGGAAAAAAGGTGATTGAAAGCTAGGTGAACTCGGTTTCGAAGTGCGACAGACGCTTGATCGTCGAGGTCATGGTCACGCGACGGCTCATGAAAGCTAACAGACGCGTCTCGAAATTGTTTTCCAGTCATTGAATCGCTTTACCGTAACAAAAAATCCCAGCTCTCGAAATATGTTACCATTTCATCTGCGATTCCGAGACACCAGTTCAGACTCAACAGCGTCCTGTCCAAATCTGAATCGTTTCGTAGAGAATTTGCGACATTTTATTACTCTGGAGGTCGATCGACTTTCTTCAGTTATTTTTATCATTTATTTGGCAATCAATTTTTGTTTCGATTTTTTTTTTTCCACAGGGATTTTAACGAGTTCAATTGGATTCTTTTTCTATCTATTTCTTTCGATAGACGAATGGAGCATACTCCTATGTCGTTGTCATTTCTCACGAAGAAACGATAGAGAAAAAGAAGCGTTGCGCAATATCGATGAGCCAAAAACTTGATATCACTCACGTTGCTATCGCTGGAACCAAAAAGTGTCCTATTACGCGGCGTCAAGATACACGTGTAACTTCCTTGTAATCTTCTCGGTTTTCTGTGTCAGCAGACATTAAACGTTCGAGTAATATTATCTACTATAAGTGCACGGTCATTAACGTCCATCGGAATATTTAGTCACGCGTGCCGAATCGTAACAGCGAGAGAGACACTAATTTCCTGGTTTCGCTTTCGCTAGACATCACTTCTTCTGGTGTCACGAAAATTCACCTAAATTTCATCCTAGATAAGAAACACCTTCTAGGCCTTCTCACATTTCCAAAAGAATACCCCAATTTTCATCCGACGATCCAAGATACGAGCGAAACGAGTTTGTTTGGACTCTGTGCAAAGCTTCCGAATAGATGTCACTGGTTCGATTGCCTACAATCTACCACCGAGTATCTAATTTCCACACGGTGAAGAGATAGCAGCTTCACCGTCACTCGGTGGAGAAAACTGCACAGGAAGGCGCGTCTGAGCAGACGAAAAGGGAGGGATGCCTAGAATATGGAGCTGTGGTGCAATTTCCCGTTTCCGTCGACCCTGTAGCGAGTTATCTACTTGCCACCGCAAGAACGAAATCACATATGCGGTAATACGGTCGTAATCTATTTTAATTCCGGCCACTTGATATCTTGCATCGTCTTCCTGATGAATAAAACAACGCGAACGAACACAGGGAAACACGTTAATATATGATTTTTTGCTCGACTTCATGACTTCAAGAACGTTGTATACTTTTCGTGCGACCTGGCGTTTGAAAAGAAGAAAGATGACACGATAGAACGCTCTTTATTTACGCGAAACGGATTGACCAGCGTTCGGAGGCTCTTCAACGGTTCTCGAGGAAGAAAATTGGCCGCGGTGCTCGATGAATCGGGGACGTGAAAAGCGAAATCCGAGTGAACAGGGTGAAAAAGAGGAGAGTGGACGTGTAATACATCTAGCTGCGCAGAGCGACGCGTCTTGCTGCTGAGTAGATGACCGGGAATCGCCTTGAGGGAAAAAAGAGGATGCGGGTCGACTTGCTGAAAGGCTCGCGGCCGAGCCGATTACCCGTTTCCATCGATCCGATTCGTCGCGACGCTTTGCGAATCGGCGCTGAGCCTTTTCCGCTGAATTATGTTGATAGCATTCATTCTCGAACATCATCGTCGGCCTGGGACACCGAGCTGTTGGAAAAACAAGTGCCATCGGGGGGCATCCCAGACGCAACGAAAGCAAAACGAGGTTCTCCATAGAATAGATACACGGATCAGATACCCTATAAACTAAATAACAAACCGTAGTACACTTTCAGATCGCCAGATATTCCTCCATCAACATGGAAGATTCGACGGGGTAGAGATACGCGGGCTCTCGCCTTCCGAATTTGCCACATTTTTCCAACTAGGTTCTCGCCTTCGCTCGGGGTCCTTCCAGACTCGTGAATTTAACGAAGTTGCGGGGAAAGAACGAACGTGTCTCGAACGAAAATGGTAATTTGGGGACACAACTATTTAGATACCAAGTTGACCTTTTCCATACTGATCTTGCACCTTGTTCTTCTACTTTTACCACCGCTAAGGATTTGCCTAACGTCTAAAGAACTGAATTGTTGCATACATTACCGCTTTCAGATAGAACCTGGCTGCGGACCGAAAAATTTGCAAGAAAACTTCAAGGACATTTGTACATAAGCGACTGTTTCGTAGATTTACATTGCAACTGTGTGAAGAGTGGCGAGCGCAGGAATTTTATCGATCAAACGAAACCTAGGCAACAAGAGCTGTTAAGACGAGTTTCTTGTATTTCCGAGAGTTCGTCTCGGAGTATGCTTTCGTGAAATTGTTGATAAATCGAGAATTTTTAAGGGACGTTACTTTTGCGCGGAGTTATCGAGAGGTAAGATGCAGGAAGAGTGTGATTTTCAAGCGAACATCGTGGAGAAGAGATCCTCGGGTGAAGCAAGGCTCGACGTTCCAGCAAGTAGTGCATCCTTATCTAAAACAGAAATTAAAAATTCGGTTAGAATCTTTGCTAATCATCAATTCTTCTTTAATGTCGTACATCTTTTCGTTCAAAATTTCAAGAAGATAAAGTGACAATTGGACAGAGTAGAAAATTGAGGTTAACGTTTCCCTAGTTACCTAAAATCTTCAAACAGTGAAAATTCAGATTGATTAATTCATTCATTCATTTTTTCTTCGTTTATTCCTCAAGATTGTCGTGCAAAAGTTCACTTATCTTTCCTTCGTTCAAAGATACCGACAGATTCCATCGTGGACTTCGAAGTCCTTGCAACGTCGTCCTCGGACGTTCTCACGAAAATGGGATCAGAATGGGAGAAAAACGAGTTGGATCAACAAGTATCCACGTTGAAATCGACGCCAGAATCGATACCGGAAGCCGATAATGAGGACGACTCGAACTGGCTGTCTTACTTCGATTGCAGCGCGATGTTCGACGTTACTTGTGAAAATCTCTCTTACTACAATTCTACCAAAGCTGAAAAGGACAGTGACAGTGATCTGGATGACACGTTGATGTTCGACGATGCTGAGGAAGGCGACACTTGCTGCGCGAATTCATACTGTCAACAGTCGTTCGAGGATTCTTGCGAGAAGAAGATCCACGATTTCGATCCATCGTTCATCGATGCTAAGTCTGAAGATGTTGTTTCCGATCAAAGTAGAGAAGATCTGATTAAAACGGACGTAGAAAATGAAGACTGCGCCAAGAGTGACGTGAAAAGTGAACATTCTGTTACCATAATCGAGGACGAAGTGATCGAAGAAGTGAGAACAGAGAAGAAATCGTCGGAAAGTTTGGATTTTTCGAGCGACTCCGAAGAAGAGAGCGACAGGAACTTCGTCTATTCCTCGCCTAACGTGAACATCAACGATTACTTCGAATACAGAGACAGCATGAAGGAGCCTAAGTTCGAGGCAAGTTTAGAGGAAGCAGATGAAATTCTTTCGAAGAAGAAAATAAAAGATTCGGTGATAATAGAAGAAATTGTCGAAGAATCTTGTGGAAAAGTAGAATTTGGCCAGGAAGCGAAAGAAGCAAAGACAGAGGAGACTTTGGTGGAAGATTTCACGGAAAGTGACGTCAAGCACGCAGATTCAGGTTCTCCAGAAGAGTACCTAGAGAAACTAGCAGAGATTACCGAGTTAGTCTGCCCGAAAACCGAAGAAGAAGTTCGAGAGACGTTGAAAAAGATCGCCGAAGGAAAAGCGGAAATAGAGAACAGGAAAAACGAGGCTTTGAAAGATCTATCGGTGGAGTTCAACAATATCGAAAAGTTTGTCGCTGAAACGAAGTCTCTGGAAGGCTACAACAGCGATTCCGATGACAGTGTCGACGAAGTAAAGAAGAACACTGAAATCATCGAGATGCCACTGACTAAAGATCAAGTAGCGGAAAATTTCAAGTCGAAAAATTCGCAAAAATTTGCAGAAGAGGAGGAGAAACGTCGCACAGAAATGCTGCTACAAGAGTGTCTTCAAGTTATCCCTCGGAAAATAGAAACGGAGGAATTTTACCCGGAGAAAGAAATCTCCGAAGAAAAACCCGAATCAGAAATTTCAGAAGAAAGTGAAACGATGACAGCAAAAATGGTGGTGAACGGAATCGTCGAGGACATCATGGCTGACACTGAAGATTCCCTTTTCTGGGAATTTCGGAAAGAACCAGAGAGAACGTACATCAAAGGGAAGGTCTACGATTTCGACGAGAAGAAGCACACTATCAGGTATATTTGCGTAACCGATACAATACAAAAATGCGTCCTTATCAACGTTCTCGCGATATAGCAATTTTACGTCTGGTAAAGTAAACTTACCTGATTTCAGAATGACGGAGGCCTATCTAAAGAAGCACTGCAAATTGAACAAACTCTATCAGACACCCCATTTGAACGACGTGCTATATCTCCATTACAAAGGTTACCGTTTTTACCAAAATAAATTTGGAGTAAAACCGCCGTCCAAGTAATTACGTTATCGAAATTTTGACTTCCTGTATTTTCTCCAGGTTTCTCTTTCATCGAGAATCTCGAGAAATACACGGGTCTCAAGTGTCTATGGCTGGAGAACAACGGGATCCGCGAGATCGCGAATTTGGAGAACCAGAGCGAGCTGAAGTGCCTGTACCTTCACAACAACCTGATAAAGAAAATCGAGAACCTCGAGTGTCTGACGCGGCTCGACACTCTCAACCTCTCTTACAACACTATACGGAGGATCGAGAATCTCGGTAACTCGGGTCCCCGCACACCTCGTTGTTGTATCCTTGATGACCTTGACCTTGACGTGCCTCCGCTTTCAGATAGCTTGAAGTTCCTGAATACTCTAAACCTGTCGCACAACTACCTGCAAGAAACCGCTGACATTGAACATCTCCGATCGCTCGACAGCCTCTCTGTACTGGATATTTCTCACAACAGGATAGAAACCGACCATGTCGTTAATGTGAGTCCGTTATGTCTCCTTAATCGTACAGGCCTCTGGCGTCACTTCGAGACGCCCGCCTCGGCTCTCCGCGCGACAGTGATGTAATTTCACGCTTTTACGAAAGTGCTCGAGCGGTTTTGTAACTGGTGATATTTTTTTTTTTTTTTGAAACGTGCGTGCCTCTTTCCTTCTTTTTTCTTTGCTTTCGGCACGTTGGGCGAGAAAACGTTTGGGCCAACTGCCGAAAATATCTGCGTATACATGTACAAACGGAACGATTAACAACGGGTGAATGTGTCGCGACGACGAAGATTTTAGGAGATACGAAGGAGTTGAGAGTGATATCGTTGATGGGCAATCCAGTTTTGAAGACCATTCAACTGTACCGCAAGACTATGATTTTGAAATGCAAAAACTTGAAGTATCTGGACGACAGACCGGTGTTCCCGCGTGATCGCGCCTGTGCAGAAGCTTGGTGAGTGGGTTGGATTGAGTATTTTTCTTGGGTACGACGATGGTAAAAAATTGTTTGAATTGGACGTATTGAGAAACGAGGTACGAAAGTAGTGTTACAAGCTAACGAAACTGTCACGAAGACAGGATGCGAGGAGGACCGGACGAAGAAGCGGCCGAGAGGAAACGGTGGATCGAGGCGGAGCAGAAGAAAATCAATGATAGCGTGCAAGGTGAGTAAAAATCGAAAGGTGGATGATGTATAGGACTTGTTTGGCTCCTGAACGAAACGGTCGCTCTCGATTTTTTTATCTCTGCACGAGAGACGCTTTCCAAACCCGCCAGTGCTCCGCCATCTTTGATACTCTTGACTCGATAACCGTGCCTCATTGATCCAACCATGCGCAAACACAATTGCCGAGATTTTTCCGTCATAGTCCGTCTATAGAATCGGTGTAAAAATTTTCTTAACTAACAGAGGGCTCGATTCCTGAAGAGTCGCACTGAAAATTTTAAGTTCGATTTTCTTCACATCTTGCAACTCAAAGTGTGCAAGATTTTTGGAGAACTACGAAACTTTGGGACACTGCAAACTGTCGTTCGAGTATCGTGAAAATTACACCGATGTCTCGAGGAAAATGACGAGAATGCGCGACAGTGATCGATCTAGGCGCGTCTATAGGAAACTTTTGGCTAGAAGTGTATGTTAGGGAGCTGCAAACCGATCTAATCTGTTATCCGTTCGATCTCTGTTTACCCGCGGACCTGCGCCCGCCCTCGAAAGCCCTGATAAACAAAAGGAAGCTGTGCAAACCGGTCGAGACGTCCAAAAAGGAGGCGGAGGATAAGAAGAAGACGAAGGAGGACGAAGAAGTAGCCACGGACACGGTTGTGTGCACGAGCAGCGAGCTGGTAAGAACTAGTTTTGTCAAGGTCTGGTACAGAATTCGTGCTTCGAATAATATTCACCACCCATCGGTCCCATCTCCACTATTTCATCATTCACCACGTGAAACCCCTGTCTGTTGCCCGGCCCTGATGGAACGTTCAAGCTCAAACTGGAGGGAAGGAAGAAAAAGTCAGACGGCTCATCCTCCGCTGGCTCCTCCGCGTCCTCGTCATCGGACGAAGAGGTGGAGAACGTCGAGGAGGATGGAACGGGGCAAAAAGGAGTCGAGAAAAGTGACGGAAGGAGGCCAATGGCGGAGGAAGGAAGAAAAGCTTCCAGTCAGATTGGCGAGGAAATTTTGTTACCCTGGCGAGCAAAGGTATTTCTCTCTGGTCTGTATATTTCGTGGTCGAGTGCCACCATAACACGTTTCTCTTTCGAGTACCACTGTACAGCAGTGCTGTTGATATTTGTTTTAAATGAAAATTATTGTTATCGTAAGAATTGGTAAAAAGGATTTTTTAATTATCGCTGATCGACAAAAATAGAGAAAGTTAGAAATATCTCCAAGGACGAGAATAGGGATTTTAGAGAAAAATTTAACGTTTCCTCAGGCTCCAACGTGTAGAACGGCGAAAAAATTGGTGGAAGAGATAGAGGAGGCGAGGGAATATGTGGCAGGCGACGCAGAGCATAAGAGACTGGGGAAGAAAATTTTGGACGAGAGAAGAAGTATCGATGATCCACCAGGTGGTCATGCTCTGGGAAGAGAACTGGCCCATTACGAGAAACTTGTCCTGGAGACGAGCAACGAGACCAATGAAATTACACCAGCATGTTACGAGCAGGGGACCAAACACGATAGTAAATTACACACCAATTCCGAATACGATTACTCCGACGAGAAAAACACTTGGTTACGAGTACCGCGAAAAATATTTCGAGCACGTCCCGCTAATACTTTCCTTTAATTTCAGCTGGAGAACAAAAGTTGACCAAAGATTCCTCCGTTTCTTGCGATATTTTCTACTCGATGGAGGCGAGAGAGAAGAAAGAGGGAAAAATTGTGGATACTGTAAACGAAGAAGGAAGTTCGAGCAACGATATTTTCGATAATCGTCGAGGAAACACCAATTCACATCCTTTGAGCAATCAGTTGAGCAGTATCAGAGAGGATATGAAAGAATTCTGCGCTGATATGGACAAATTCGTGGAGGAGAATAAAATCGTGTTTAAAAATGGCGAGGTGAAGGGTTTCTGGGGTGAAGACGCTGAAGCAAATTCTGAATTAAAATGCGACACGAGCGGTGAACAGGAAGAGAAAGAATCTTCGAGAGGGATGAAAGAAGAAGAGAATTTCAAATGGTGGAGTACTAAGGAGAGAAAATTGAAAGTGAGGGAAATCATGAAAAAGAGAGAAGAAGAGGTTCAAAAATTAGGAAAAACTAAAAAAGTTACAATTTTGGAGGAGAAAGTTTGCAACGATGAACGAGATGACACGAAGAAGCAAATTTCTGCTTCTCCAAGCGTTTACGATTTATTGAACCTGAAACGGTGTCCTGAAATTATGCTGGAAGATGAGAAAACATACCCTGAAAGAGAAGATAATTCTATATACAGCGAAGCTACTGAAAAAGAAGAAAATGAACAGCGTTTTTCAAGTGTCTTCGATTCTTTCTTCATGGAGATGGATCAGAAAAGTGGAATTGACGTGAAGTCAGAAAAAATGTCGAGAACGACCAGTTCTCGTGAATTGCTGGCCATAGAAGAAGTTGAAGAAGGCGTTGAAGAGACAGTGGAGTCTTCCATTGATGGTACATCAAAGTTAGACAACGATCAAGAAGCTACCAAAAAGAAATGTGTGAAAATCGAAATCTTGGAAGCAAACCCTGTCAATATCACCGACGACGACGAGTCAGATAACGAGTCTGTGAAAACTGTAATTAATAATTACGAAAGTCCAGAAATTAACACAGAAGTAAACGTAAAAAGTAATTCAGCAATCTCCTCTGATACTTTGAAAAATGTCCAAGTGCTATCAGACGTCGAAATTCGAAATACTGTCACAGAAAAGTCGAATAACTCGTCTAAATCGCATAAGAGAACATGCGACAGCGAGTACCTAAATGTAGTTAGTAAAAAATCGCATTTGATCGAGGAAATCGACGTTGAGAAAGATTCGAGCGATCGAAGGAGTGCCAGCGAAGTGACTGCGAGATGTAGACAACATATGTTGAGAGAAGCGAAGAAATTTATGAAAAAAGAGTCGCCTTTAATAGACAAGTGTATAGAGAGTCTGATAACAAACAAAGATTCCGAGGGAAAATGGAACCTAAGAAAGTGTCATCAGAAGGATTTTTTGACGGTGAATTCCAACTTTTTATCTTATCCAACTCCTGAAAATTCACAGAAATCTTTGGACGAACTTCGAAGTCTCGAAAAGGAACAAAAATCTGATTCACATAATACGCAACAGTCAGGTGAGTGTTACAACGTAGATACAACGAAAATTAGTTCTATTTGTAAAACGATGTTTATTTCAGACGTACAATCGATCGCTCGAATCCTAAAGGAATCCGAAGATGCTGAAAAGTCTATGCCAAAAAAAGGTGCAAACCTCTTTCAAGAATTTTGCGCACATTTACAACAGATGAACAGCAAGAAGAAGCTGCTGATCGAGCCAGATTTCATGAAGAGCAGCAGGGTAGATCCCGAAGAAAAGAAACGCGACGTTTCATCGCCAATGGAGACGAAACAATCGAGCAATGAACAAACAAAGCCACTAATCGAGGTGATTTCAGAGACATCGACGAATGTAGACGATGTCGAGGAACCTGAAGAAACACTTGCCTACCCTGAAGATTGCGAAATGGATCCAGCATTGAAAGAGAAAATATTGAGAAGCATTAATGCACCAAAGACCGACGAGCAGAGAGAAAGAGGGAAAAAATCGGCTGAGAAATTGAAGAGGATCTCCAGAGAAGCTATGGCGAAAGGAAAATTGCTACTTGAACGATCTTCCGCCAATGGCAGTGATAAATTAGTCAGTGAAACGAGTTAAATTTAATTTTACATATTTATTTTTTAAATCATACTTTTTATATTAATAAGATGACGTTACCTTTAGGAAATCGACGACAGCAGAAAGTTTTTCATGAACCTGTTGAAGGACGATCCTGCGCAGGAAGTAGAAGATGCAGATTCGAACAGGAATATCGATGAAAAAGATGAGAACTCGAGCAAAAAAATTCTCACAGAGTCTTCTCAAGAGTGTACTATAAAAACAGACGAAACTAAGGAATTACCTTTCGTGAATAACGATGGCAGTGATAAAAATGATAAAATTCTTCACGCAGAGAGAGAAAATGGCGGGATGGTGAGGAAAAGTTTGGAGATGCAAGTAGTTGAACAACAGTGAAGAGATAGTTTTAACGTGAAATCTGTAGCGCGAAGTTCGAAGAATTGTTAATACTTGAATTTAGAAAAAAAAAAAAAAAAAAAAATCGATAAATAATTTCACTTTACAAATATGTATCAGAAAAGATGGTAGATTTCGTAAGTTAAGTTGTATTTTCTTCTTTTGTATTCAAATAAACTCGACTTAAGTTCCAACTGAAAATTCCATTTACACGTTAAAAGCTGCGCGAATGAAGTTTCCGTATAAAATTGCAAAAGTTGAAAGAAGAAGCAAGCAAAATATATATCATCGACGGAAGGGCAACCTAAACGACGGATTGTGGCATATTTAGACGTCTCTTCTACTACGTACACTTTATTTTTTTTCTTTGTCCACACTCACATCAATTATATAATAATAATAACGATGATGGCGGTGATCTGATGAACCGTAATTAATAGTAAGAATAATTAATCTGTAATTATGTATAATGACGATTGGCTGCTTGCAAACGAAACAATTATAGTTCTCCGACGTTTCTCTTTACGTTTTCGTCGTTCGTCGAGAACACACCCAGGAGGATTCGACAATGAATGATCCCGTGTCTCCGCAAAAGCTTGGCAGAAAGCTCGTGATACTTTTTTTGTTTTTTTTCTTTTCTGGTTTATACGTTTATAATAGGATGATATCGGAATGAAGTTCTTTTTTTCCTTCCGTTTCGCGCACCGCGTCGAACCTTGCCTCTCTTCTCTTCTCTTCTCGCTCTCTACCTATTTTTTCTTTCTTTACCAGCATTTTCGTCTCGCCGTTCGACCATTTCCCTTTCCATTTTTTTTTTCTTCTTATATCTTGTATAATATAACGCTATACGACTTTTTTCTCATTTTACTGTTTTTTTTTCTCGTTTTCTCTCCTTTATTTTCGCGTGCTCTTAAGAACTACCTTACTTGCTCTCTGGCTCCACGCAGGAAGTAAAGAAACGTACAGATACATTATGCTCCACTGTTTTTTCCTATAATTATTACAATAATAGATTTATAAATTGTCCATTTTCCCCGTGTCTCAGACTCACTCTCATACACACGCATCATTCTCATATCTTCATCTCGGTCGCATGCGCCATTCTTCCCTTTCTCACACGTCCAGACGAACACAAATTCAAACGTTCTCGCGGAATTATTTTCTCACACACTCACGCATTCTCCGTTGCTCCCTAATTGTAAGTGATTCTTCCGAACTGTATACCGAGTGTCGAAGAAGTGGTGGGTCGATGATACAAAAAAAAAAAAAAAAAAAAAATACACGAAAACGCACACCTTCGTTGGAAAGACGAGAAGAATTTCCGATCGTTTCGCCAATAATAGAAGAAGAAAAATTGAATGGTTTTTCTTTCGATCATCGAATAACTACTTCCTCTGTCCACGTCGTGTATACGTCCTCTTTGGGTTTATCTTCGCTTACTATCGTATTGTTTATAGTTGTTGCCTGCCGTTTACTTCTGCAGCAATGAATTAATTATTTAATGCATGACAGCCCTTACACGTTACATGTTACAGAGAGAGAGTACCTTAAACGTCTATGATTTTTTTTTCATTATACCTCTTGCTCGTTTAGTATTAAAGAATTTCCACGGGTTATTGAAAAAGGTTATCGCGAAGCTCGCCGCTTTGAACTCTCGTCTCCTCTTCCGTCTTTGTTTCTATATCTGTTTTTTAAACGTGATCCAGAAGCGTGGTTATCGGCGACTTCGTGAGAGAAAATGGGCGATCCTTTCACCTTTTTGTCCAACATTTTTCCTCCCGGTAATCGAACGTGATTAAAATTGAACGAGCGCGATTGAACGAAAACAGATAATCACTAACGAGATACTTCTCGATCGAATTTGCAATCACACCGCGGAGAGAGAGAGAGAAAGGAAAAACAGTTGAATTAGAGTGGAAGGGACACAGACAGGTGGGCGAGAAAATTTCGAACTCCTCTCGTTCGAGCGCTTTATCAGTCTTCTTTGTATTTCTAGTCCGAGAAAAATAATGTTGATCTCGTTGATTCCTCGCTTGATTTTTATTCTTGATCCCTATTTTTTTTTCCGCTTTTTTTTTTGGTTAAGACGAGTCCTCGCGCCCCGGTCCGTTTTCATCGTGCAAAAAAGGGTCGTACGATTCGAGCGACTCGTGCGCCGCTTCTTTTGTCTCCTTTTCTTTTAGAAGGTGCAACGAGCTACTCGACGTCTCTAACCTCTCGTCTTTGTACTACGTAATCGTTTACTTCTTTATTCGTGTTTCGTTTTTTTTTTTTTTTGGTATTTTTTTTCTTTAATTATTTCCTTAAGGAGGATTGTCATCGTGCGTTGGTGTGTTTTCGCATTATCACCGCGTGCGAAACATTCAACGAAATGTTCCAAAAGTAACAAGTGGTCGAAATATAAATGCTTCCTGAAGATATGTAAATACGTGGCTTTTTGCGTTGGATCACATTTACAATTGTGCAAAGCAAAAGTGAAGAATTTCTTTTCTTTCTTTTTGGGGATGATTTTTCTTTAACAATGTTCCACGGTTTCGATGGTTAGATCCTAGGAATTTTGGAAACTTCGTCTCGGTACGTCGATACGAGTAAAAATAGGGGAAAAATGTTCCTTTCTCGTGATTTTTCTCTTATTTTCATTCGTGTGAACACCGATGG